AAAAAAAAAAAAAAAAAAAAATCAGCCTCAATTAAAATAGTATGAAGGCACAGCAAAACAAAGCCTCAAACTGGGAATCAAAACTGACTTCAGTTCCTGGCTTTGTCTCCGACTGTTTTGAACTTGGACTCTTTCCACTTCCAAGTTTTCTCACCAGTAGAGTAGGAACGTTCCTCACTGCCTTAACACGGTACTTTGGTTCCTCAGACAAAAACACGCCTCCGTAAGATTAGTATTAAAGTATAATCTATTATTATTCTTTTATTTATTTTTCTCTTTAAACAAATCAAAATGACTCATTGTATGTTGTTTAAAACTTCACTTTAAATATGTTAGCATCCCCTTTGACTCTTGAATATCTGAGGAGAATGAATTTAATTTCAGTCCTACTTCCTGCCCTCAGCCAGCTTCCTGTGACTTGAGGGCAGCCAAGCTTTACATACAAAAGTTCATAAAACTTGTTTTTTAAAAAAAAAATTTCATCAGACCATCAACCCACCCACTCTTGCAGCCCACTCTTGCCACTTCTGGAAGTTACTCCACTTTCTCTGCCCCCACCCACAGCCACAGAAGAGAAGTTGATATGGACAAAACAAGAATGGAGGCAGAGGTAAAAATACGAATTTTAATTCAGAGCATTTAGTGTATTTACAATAGAAAGTTTCTCTCTGGTCAAGGGACAAGAGACTAAAAAAAAAAATCCACATTACAAGTGTGTGGACAACCTGCACCTGATGCAGGCTAATTGATTTTTGCTACTTCTGCTTCACCCAGGGTAATACCCGTGAGAAAGTGATGGCGAGAGCCTGGAGATGGTACCGAATGTCTCTCACACCCAAGTAGCAATCAGAGAATGCAGTCCAGGAAGTAGTGTGAAGTTATTCAACAGTTGCTAAAAAATATACATATATATATATATGTACACATACACAGTCCCATTTGCAGTTAGATGAAATTCAGCAAACCATTCAGAGATAGATAAGAAGGTAGACACAAGCCTACCTGGGTCCAAGCACAGATTTGCAGAGGCGCTCACGCTACTAGGTACGTAGGTACCTTCTCACCCAGACAGACGCACTCACTTGGACAAACACACAGGCAGCTGTTTTGTTAATGCTATCTTACACGGTTTCTAGGTACAGAAAAAAAACTTGAGAAAAAAGCACCAACCGTCTTATCTGACTCACTGGCTCGGAATCCTTATTCCTCTTGAACCTGAGGGAAATGGGGGTGTGGAAAGGATAACGTCCTCCCGTTTCTCACAGAGCCACCACTTCTGAATCTCCGTGACTCTTTTTGCCACGGCGATAACTAGTTGATACCGAAAGGGGGCAATCCTCTCCCGCTCTCAGAAATAGGCACGTCCTCCCACCACTTCCCTTGAGTCAGACCTAGCAATCAAAGGGCTGCAATGTGAGCCAGTTCAACTGTCTGATCTTGCAGAAAAAGAGATCTGCAAAAAGTGAGCGAGTGCTTTACCATCTGAACAGCCAGCTTAACCAAGTCACCCTACAAGTTTACCCACCACATGGTGGGTGGAGCACCATTTCAGCAACAACTTGTCTGTAGAGTAGCTGATCTATTAAGTCACCCCGAGCTCCTGTTTTCATCTTGGTCAGAGTCCACGTACCACTTCCTCTATGAGGTGCTTTCCCTCCTTGGGAAAGCAGTTGTTGCAGAGGCCTGTCTTGGTTTAAAGATGCTGAACTACATGGTGGTTGAGAAGCAAACCTCAGCCCTCCTCCAGCATCATCTGCTGCTGTCCCCAACAAACCCAGTTAAGGAGTGTTAGAAAGATAGGGAGGCATGGGAAAAGGAAGACAGGAAAGGAAGGGAGTTATGATCCTTTCGTAACAGCCATAGCAAGGGCAACTAAAGCAGAAATAGATTAAAGATGGCTGTGGAGGCTGCAAGGTTGCGGAGAGTTCTGGTTTAGCAAAGCCTCTTGAATAGCTTCACTGCAGCCACTCAGCTCCATCTGGTTGAGTACATAGCTGATGTGCTCCACAGTTGCAGCGTGGCCCATCTGCAGTTTCCACAGTCTAAGCATTTCATACTGGGCATCTCGTAAATGCCGATGCTCCATCTCAATTCGCTCTAGATCATAGTCACTCAGACCCAGACGCCTCACAAACTCTTTCCACCGAGATGGCGGTACGTGATCCACCACAGTGTAGAGAATAGCACGGTCTGTGAAAAGAGGAGAAACAAAGTGTGAGAACCAGGATTCTGCAGCCTCAAGGTAGTGCCTTGGGATCATGCATTGCCCCCTCCTGTTCAGGCCTTCTACAGATTAGTCACACAGACTCGTGTGATGTCCAGACTTGCTCTTATCCCTCAAAAAGCAATGGGGATGCTTCCATATGCTCTTGTGTAAGGTTATGAACAGAGCTGAGCACACATGCTTAGGGCCTTGCTGCCACACGTTCCTGCCAAAAAAATGCTCTGGGTCACCATCCCAGAGGCATTAAGACTGACAGCATGTCACCACATATGACAATCCATTTTGCTGGTAGGGAAAAGGGACAACAGAAAGGCCTCGCGTAAATGTTTAGCATATACAGGCTCACAGGCTTTGTATGCTTCTGCCTTTGTATTGTGCCATGCAGGAAGTATACACACAGGTCATGTACACCGGGTAAGGTCTGTCCAACATCCTCCTAGCCGCATCTGCATAATCAGGGTCTCGTTTGTCTGGGGAAGGAGGGAAGGATGGGGGAGTTTCACTTACTGTCTGGAAGCTGTGTCTTCCTGGCAGGTCTGACACAGTCTGGTAACTCATGTGAACTTTGCGGTAGAGGTGCAGGTGGTGGCGTTGCATTCACTGACAATTCTGTTTCCTTCTGGGACTCGGGAAGAAGGATGGAAATTTCACTTCTTTTTACCTCAACCTGAAAGACACATTTTCTTAGTCCAGAATCACCTGCAGCAGCACAATATACCTGTCTCCTGCAAGGAACCGCTAGCTTTATATACCCAAATTTATCCAAGATAGGTAGGGAGCAGGTGCTGAGGTTTTAATTTTTCCTATATGCCTTGTTTGAGTAGAAGGCACCAAACATTTCTTTCAAGGAGTTTAACTCTTTTTTGGCACCCAAAAACGGTAGTCTGGAAAAAAAGTTTCTTTACAAAATGAAGTAAGGCTAGGACCCGAAATCACCACCATTCTAGAAGCTCCACATGCCACCTTTTCCATCAGCCTTCTCTGTAAGGCTGTGGAAACCCTACCTCAACTACTGCTTGGGCCCTCTTAATTACAGAACAACATTGGACCTGAGAGAACACTGTGAAGCAGCACCGAGAGGCTTGTGGGGTCAAGATCTGAAGTGAAGTAAAATTAGTTAAATTCCCCAAGCTTGAGGTATATAGGGAGAAAAAGGGATTAAGGACCAGCTATCTGAAACAAATGTATCCAGGAAGAAAAGAGGAAAAAGCCAGAAGTTTGAAAAGCATCCTCTAGAAGAGGGGAAGTAAAATATTAATAGCTCCACCCTCTACAGGAAAAGACTTCTGAATTAAACAGCCCTATTACTCAGCTCATTTGAAAATACAAGGCCTGAAAACAGCCCATGGGGAAAAATGTTACTCTGGATCCCAGGCTAACATTGTTGAAAGTGGAAGGAAAGCTCATCATCTTGCCTACCTCGGACACTGGCTCCTTAGTTGTCTGCGGCAAAGAAACTTTAAAGAAAAAAAAAAGAAAAAAGAAAGCAGAAATTATTTTCATTTCCTCTCATCCCAGAGAAAACAGGAAAGCAGCTATTCACAATCCTGCCCTCAAAAAGGTTTTATAGCAAAATGGACATGTCCCAGCAACGAGCTCACATGCACTTCCAGTCACAGCTATGGGCACAGATGCAGAATTGTAAGAACTGCACCAATAAGCTTAGCTGTCGAGTTCAAGTGTTCCTCTGGCCTTGCAGCAAAGTAGAGTAACAGGATCCCACTTTTTCCCTCACACGTGCACATACACAAACACACAGAGAATTATGTGTTTCCCAATTAATATCACTGCATATGCTGCTGTACTCACCACAGGAGTAGAAAGATGATGCTATCCCATTTTCCTGGACCAGCTTCACTACTTTATTTACAATGTAGAGGACAGAGATAACTCCAAATATTGCAACGATGATGCCAAGGACAAGGCTCCCATCTGGACAAAAGGCCAAATAAGTGAGTGACTGAGAAAGGAAGAGGTAAGTGCTAGAGGAAGAACAGCAAATGAAGACGTGCAAATGGTAGGGAGAAAAAGAATAATAGTTTGAGACAGTGGAGAAAGTAACACTTTACAAAAGACATTAACAGAACAAAAGCCCACACTGAAAAGATTCCACTGTCCTCCAGCTCCTCCAGTACTCACTCAACCCAGACGAAGTCGGTGAGGTAGTCACTGGGCTATGACACTGCAAGCATTCTTCTCCAATGCAGCTGAAAGAGCAAATCAGAGAGGTGAGCATGCATGAAATGAAACACCAGCCATTTGCGACAATCCTAAGTAACAAACAAGTCTAGATGAGCCTGCAAAGCAGAGCAATGCAGTGTGGCTAGTGACTTTGGGTTCTTAGTGGGCTGATGCCTATATGGAGAAGACCGGGGGTGGCAGAGGGGAAGACCCAATTGCCCCAGAAAGGCAGAATGATGTAAAGTTATGTCAAGATGGACAGAACCTTGAGAAAAATTTCCTCCCCCTGTGGGGTTTGTGTCTGCTGTCTCTCCTACTCAATGGAGGGGCATACAGAGAATAAAAGCTCACCTGTTGCAAGGCTTGCAAACGTTACTAAGTGTCAGGAAGAATCGAGGCTTACACCTGCAAATCGTGTCTCTGTTCTTTGAACCTGTAGAGGAAAGAAGAAACCGTTGCCATAATCTGGACAGAGAAGAAAACAAAAAGAGAAAAATCCACTCCAAGATGGGAGGGAGATTATCTCTCTTCGAGCCTGGAGAACCGCTACTGAAGAAGAGAAAGGATTCGGTCTATGTCTGAGGACAGAAGAGGGGGATAAAAATAATAAAAAATAAGGGTACCACTGTCCTGGTAGGTCAGGGACCTCTATAGAGGCTTGGAAAGGGACTAAAATTACAGTACATCTGAAATTGGTCAAATGGATAATGACAATTCCACTGCAAAAGTGGAGAAAGTCACTCAAGTTCAAGCATGACAAGAAGGGGAAATCACATTAGTCAGGCAAAGATGAGGGAGAAGTGGTCCCTGAGCAGCTGAGACTGGTGAGGAAGTCAGTTCAGGGCACGGAGAAATCACTTCAAGCCATGAGACGCATATCCACTCTTGTGATCTACTATGCTGTGAGTGGAAGTGGTAAGAAATTAAAGAGCTATTGCTTCTGAGCAAGTCACAGTATACGGAGACTGAGTAAAACAGGTGTGGGGAGGAGCAGACAAGAATAGTGATGGAAGAACATAAAGTTGCATGAGGGGAGGGAAAAAGGTACTAGAATAAGCAGCATGCATTCCGTGGCAAGCGAGGGACAGGACTAAACCAGTTCTACATCAGCCAAGAGGGAAGGAAATTGCTCAAGGGCAGCGTACGATGATGGCCCTTGAGGATAGGTGTAAGCATCGAAACTGTGACAGAGAAAGATTACCAAGCACCAGAGGGAACGCATTCACCAGTGAGACACCAACCTCACACTAGGCAGGGTAAGAGACAGGAAAGGGATCAGGAGAAGCAGAATTTGCAAAGCAGAGGGGATAGCTTTAGGACAACAAGATAAGGAACATTTAAGGGACACAAACAGAATTAGACTACAGCACAAAGTGGAGGGCGGCAAGCAGCATTTGGTTAAGATCTCCGATTACTGGCTGGAGATGAGGCAGCTTGAGACAGCTAACACGAGTACTTCTCCCAGACACCCGCACCATCCCCAGGTCACACCCAATGCCACTGGGTACAGTTCAGCATTACCTGAGCAGCTCTTTAGTTTAAAACACTGCACAGTACACTGGTGGTTCAGCAACCGACCGAGAAGCAGTTCAGCTGGGCACTGGGACCAGCGGTATTTTTAGCCATTGTACTCAAAGTGCTTCCACAGCAATTGGTGAGGGAAATGCAATAAGCATCAGGAGAATATCCACACAAAGACAAAAAAGGAAGGTAAGGAGGAAGTCTGCTCTGGAGCATAAAGACCTTGCTTCAGTACGTGCAAGGCAGATGTACCAAAATTAAGTAGAAAATATCTCCTCGCAACAGCCAAAACCGAGAAATCATTCAAGGACAAAAGGAAGGTAGAAACTGTCATAGAAAACAAGGATTGATGCCAAGGCAGGCAAAAAATGGCAGTCTTTCTGGGGAAAAGGGGGAGGCAAAACCAAGAGTTGCTCCAAAACTACAATCACTTCAGAGCAAGGCTTTGCAATGTGTCAGAAAGTGAAAAGAGGGCTGCTAATGTATGTCAGCATATATCCATGCCATACTCACAGTTGGCAATAATCCCATTGACACACAAGCTGCAGTTCCTACACTGGAAGAGATCGGACAGGCCAATCTGATATTGATTCTTCCGACAGCCGCATACGGTATCTTGCTTTGGGGTGCAGGGGGTCTCTACTATCTGCTGGAATTCTGAGGAAAGGAAAAGCGATTATTCCTACCTCTTCTCTCACCTTCAGCTGAGAGCACCCTTATGATGAGAAGTATTGTTACCTCCTAATCTTCCCAGAGAAAGGCCAAAAAAGCCTGCAAACTGCATCTCAGACTGTAATAATTTGGTAACCCTTATTCCCACTGTCCCCAATCCCTTCCCATACACTGTCTTTCTGCCCATTCAATTGCTTACTTTTCCAAGCTTCCTCACTCACCTTGCCATCCCCTCCAGCCCCCCCACCTGCCACTACTACTTTCCTCAGGTCGTGTAAATAACTCACCTGTACGGCAATGTGTACACTGGAAGCATTTAGACATGGTGTTATCAACAGCTGTGAATGTGCCATTAGCACATGGAAGACAGACAGGTGCCTGGTCAGGCCGATCACAGTCTTTTGCCTTGTAGGTACCTGCAAGAAAATCACTTAACAGAGCTCTGACAGGAAGGGAAACATGTTGTCATAGGGAGGATGAGAGTCATTGATTCCTCAGAAAAACCCTGGAGTTGATGGCATAAGGACTGAGTATGCTTCCGCTCACCAGTGTGAAGGACACTGACAGCCAAAAGAAGAGAGACAAGGAATAAGAATGTATCTGGGTAGGGTTAGGTACCAAGGCAAGGGAGCACTGATGTAGCTGTAGGACAGAAACAGTTTGAAAGTGCAGGACAGGGAAATGCCTCTAAGGTGAAGGTCACTATTACTGTACTTATTTTACGTACCTGCATGGCACCTCATGCAGCAGTGGGTCTCTCTGGGATGTAGGTATTGTCCTAGTGGACACTGCACCTGCCTCCTTTCTCTCCTCAAGGGGTTAGAGGAGTCTCTTCCATCCAAAGCTACCCGATGGACCTGCAGTGTATATGGCACTGGAGCAATTTCTACAGATTCCTTTGTCAACACACAGACAAATGTTAGGATAACCTGTAAATACAGAGGGAGGGGGAGAGAGAGGGAAAGAAAAAGGAAGAGCAACAAGGTGAGAAAACATCATATCCCCTGGCAGACTGCACAGCTGACTTCAGCACTTACAATTAAATCTTTTTATAACAGTGAGTTCAACTGACTTGACCAATTATGATACCAGGACCCTCCACTGACAAAAGTGTGGGGAGATTATTTATCAAAAAAACCCCAACAAACCCATGCCTGTCATCTGTGTTATTAATATGCCATACAATGGTCTCTATGACCAACTGGTTGTATATAAAGCAAATACTTTTCATGATGTGCAGTTTATAGATGGAATGCCTTGAAAATGCTGCAGCTTGCAAGAAAGTTACTCAAGAGCAAAGGAATGGTTTCATTAAGGAAGGCAGTAAGACTGCCCATCTAGAAATAGTTCCAGAGAGAAGAATGCATCCAGTACTTGCAGTTCTACTGAATAAATAAACCAGATGGGAAGTTTGGAATAAGAAGAGAGAGGAGGATCTCACTGCATGCAAAGTACAGAAAAGCTTCCAAAACTCCTCCTGAGCAAGCCAGCCCTAGAAACGTGGGAAAGTTAGGTTTTCAACTTCTCCCCGTCAAACGTACATTATTCCTTTTAAACTGCAGCTGTTAACATTCAGTCTGCACAGTCTGCCACAAAAATGTGCACTTTTTTCTTTTTTAATTCCTTTAAGATTTACTTGCTATTTTTCATTTTGAAGATGACTGTTGTCAAGAATTTTCACACAACTATTAAGATTGGCATGACTGTAGTACGACTGTAAGAGAGTATGAGTGTGTGTACACACACACCCCAGAAGGAACAGCAGAACAAAGGGTTAAAAGAACAGCCCTGTGCCGATAATGAAGAACACCATTCCCTGGACATTGTTTTCAGGACACTATTCCGAGCAGTGAAATTGAGAAATGTGCTGTTTATGTCACAGCCGAAAGGTCTATGCTCTGGTAACACCACAGCACAGATGACTCATCAGCAAAAGACCCTGCACCAGGAAAATGGTAATGAGATTGCAGCATATCACAAACACAATTCCTTTGCCTGTTGGCCCAACAGAAAAACAGACCCCAGGCATGTATTTCAAACATGCATTCAGACAAGGAAAAAACATACAGTAACAAAAAGGTTAAAAAACCAAAACAAAACAAAACACAACCGGGAAACAACTTGGCGCAAGATTTATGGAGCTGAAGTCAGCAAGTTTCTACAGCAAAGGCCCATCCCATACCAGCTGACGACTCCCAAAGGGTACGATCGACTTGTCCAAAAACTAGTTTGTAGTGCCATGAAGAACCACAGCGGCGTGATGAAGACCTGACAGCCAGTGTCCCTTGTCGTCTGCATTGCACACGAGTCATCCTGGCCACACCATCTAGACATACACGTGTTGGTGCTTCTGAGTATGTCACGGGGAGTAACATACATGCCAATTGTAGTCTATGCATCAGATCGTGTGAATGCATGAAAATCAACTCATTTTTTTGCAAACAAATACCACCCCGCCCCGTCCATACAATCTCACACTGAGTTTTATTTACACTAACTTCCCTACGTTGTAATGTTTTCCCAACTTCCTTTTTTGAAAGTGGTAAGATGCCTAGCTGTACAGGCACAGCTTCAGAGTTCCGTTTCTTTTTGCTTTTTCAGCTAGGAGTTATAGCAAAGGCAAAGTAAACCAATAAGGGTAAACCACAATGCTGATACCAATTTTGTGGTTGCAAGCTTAAGAAGGAATACGGAAAATGAGGTGGCTATGACAGCTCCGTGCTGTCCTGTTTCTCTCTCAAAATTAAAGCCTTAGGGGCAAAAGATACATACATGAAAGCAACTTAAAACCTCAAGAAGGATAGGACTTTGCAACTCTGACAAAACAAAAACCCCATTTTTCAGAGAGCTCTGTCATACAAAGACATATTCAATAGACCAGATGCTAAAATGGTGAACAGGAAAAAGAGAACCACATATTTAAATAGCTATCGTTTCAGACTTAATTAGCTGACCACAGGATAAATGCGAGCACTCCAACAACAACTCAGCAAGAAATAAAACTTATTTCAGCAGCTGATAATCTTACAAGATTGATTGCTTGCAGGAAAACAGGTGAAAGATCATGCACACAGATGCTCTGACAGCAACAACAGAAAATCCTGATTCTCTAGCCAATTATTAATCCCCTGATTTGGGAATATTTACAGCTGGCCCATAAGTCAGACAAATCAGCAACAGAAACAACAGAGGAAAGCATCAAAGATCAAGCCAATTACACGTAGAAAATTGGTCAGATACACCTTCAAAACCAAAAGAAAACGGGAAAGGTGTCTTCAATTTTTCAGGTTAAGTGAAAGCGTGTCTGTAAGTGTAATCAAACCAGAGTTAACACATTATTACTGATCAAAATCTGAGGAACAAAGAGTCACAGACCACAAGTGACTCACAAACCAATGACTCGGCCTTCCAGAAAAATCATTTACATGGCAGAAAAAAAAACAACCACCATCTTAAGCAGCTCCCCAAGCCATTCAGCAGTATACTGATTTATACCAATGACAGACTTCATAAAATTCAAGAAATACATGAAACTAGAATAGAATAGACTATTTCAGTTGGAAGGGACCTACAACGATCATCTAGTCCAACTGCCTGACCAATTCAGGGCTGACCAAAAGTTAAAGCATGTTATTAAGGGCATTGTCCAAATGCCTCTTAAATGATGACAGGCCTGGCGCATCGACCACCTCTCTAGGAAGCCTGTT